CCCGCCGCCCAGGTCTACAAGTACAGGGTGCGGGACAGAGTGCTGGCCGGCGCCACTGACGGCAGGAACGAGGCGCCACCGACAGCACGTGCGGAAGATGCAGAAGATGGCGGGTATAGGATAGGCGACGAAGTCTGGATGAGGGTCCCAAAAACGCGATGTGGGGAGCAGTCTCGGCGAGGGGTGGTAACTGGTTTTATATCGCCTCAGGTGATGGAGGTAGATGGTGCCCCGTGGCACGTCCGTGACCTCAGACATCGCCAAGAGGTGTAATGTGATCTTGAGGATCAGGGGGGGATGTGATGTGAACTGTGATACGGAAGTGTGAAGTTCACACAAGGGCGAGAAATTGCGCGAGATCAACTTCAGAAAATCAAGTCGGATTGTTGGGGAGGCAAAAATACAGTGGTTTTTGGGAGACGATTTGTGTCGGGCAGATTGATTTCTCATTTGCTTATCACAAATTTGCAACTAAAAGCCGTGGCAAACAGTAAAATCCTGGCCTAATTTGGTTAATTTCCGTTCCGTGAAGGCGCCGTTTGAATGAGGCGGCGGCGGTGGCGGCGGCGTCTCGGACCGCTGACCGCGCTTCGCTGACCTGCCGGGTCACCAGGTGCCGTGTGGTCACATTTATAACGCTGCCGTGCTGCCGGGCCCGCCCCCGCACTGACACGCTGGGAGCGCCGGTCACGTGACCACACTACCGTGACTCACCGCTGCACAATGCAGTTGTGGATCACGGGTTACGTGAGGGTCATGCGGCGGCTCTGTCAGGTAGGTGACCGACCTGAAAGACTTCTGAAAGATAACTCATTAGGGAGTTGAACAGTAGGCACTTCAGTGAGAAAATTAGTGCGAACATTAATTTTCCTTTAACGAATAAAACTGCATCTGACGGGGGAGGCAGCTCGGATCTGCACACTCATATGCTGAGACTGCCGAAGAGTCGTCTAGGGTTGCCTTGTGGCCGTCCTTATATCGGCTGGGGGACGTTCAGGCATTCTTCTGTATTCGAGGGCCGTCCTGACTGAGGACCGCGGGTTCATTACCGTCTGAATATTGACGCGGCGGCCGCCGGCGGTGGTGCCCTAATGACTGATGATTGGAGCCGTACGCACAAACGCCCGCGCGGCCGACCGGCCAAATTACAGCAGCGCGCACTGAATAAACTGACCGCCGCCCTGCGTCTGACCCTTTGTCTCGGCGCGGCCAGATATGCCGCAGAGCGCCGGCGCCGCGCGCAGCACGAAAACAACAGCCGGCCGGCCTCCCGCCGGAGCGGCGAGTAGCAATTAAAACAGCTACCGACGCCGTCAACATGGCACACCGCTGGGACGGCGACCGCACCGCGCACCTGTCGGGAGTGGAGACGGCCTCCGAGGTCCCAGATTGGTCTGAGGTCCCTTTGCGAGTCCCTGAGGTACCTTCTACCGGCTACCGTGCATGACAGTCCTGAAGCTCAGTCCTGAGAGTCCTGAGAGTAGGTATACCACCGTTCGATAATGGAGCCGCGGAGCTACCCGAGCTGCGGCCAGAGGTGGTCGGGGTGACGGCGGCTCGCGGGAGCTGTGAGAACACCGGGCGGGGTGTGAGAACTCTGGGCGGGGTGTGAGAACTTCGGGCGGGGCCGCTCACCTCTTGACACCCCCACACTTTAGCCGTGAGAAGCCAGGTATCGTTTGGACCCTCCTCTGGGCTGGCACCTAGACAACCTACTCTCAGCCGACCCCATGCCCTGGGGGACATGGTCCTCCCTGAGACGACCCTAACTCTCCGTCCGGCGCACGAGGTCGTCACGACCGTCCCGCGCCCCCGAGCAGACTTTCTCTCTCGGAACAATGGCACGGACATACCTCTGCTGGCATACTGGAGCAGTCGCTGGCGGACTGAGCAGTCATTAGCACATAGTTTTGGCACCTGCTCCCAACGAGCGACTGTTCAAATTGTTCCTGACGGAAAATTATGACAAAGTTTGCATTTGTATTGGTACATTCATTATTCTAAGATCATTATCTACATGGGTTTCTGTAAATATGCGAGTGACTTTATATGTGATTTTTTTCCGAATCTGATGGTTGCTTTGCGGAACTGAGTCGTATAAACAAAGCTTCATCACTAAAATGACGCTGTAGTTAGTTGGCCGTTGTGAATATCGCGAACCTCGCCTCCATCTGACCCGCCGCGCTGGGGTGACCCAGAGAGCGCGCGATCTCCGACGCACCGCGACCCGGTATGTATGTATAGCTAACGCCGCGGCCGACAAAGTTCACCGGCCGATGGCGCGCTTGCATGATGCAGATTGCTCACACGTAGGTGCCAGCCGAAATTTGTAGCCCATTTATCACTATCAAATCCGCGCGATTCCCCATGCGGCGCGACCGCGACGGAGCGCGCAAGAAGGGCCCATCGGGCGATACCATCTTAATTGCGGCGAATGCCTCGATAATGAGAGTATATCATCCGTGGCTAACAAACGCGATCGGCCGCCGCGTCATGACGGCTCAGTGGGACTTCTGGAGCGGCTCGGCGGCGCAAAGACTGCAAGTCAGTCGCGCCGCGGTCCGGACAGTGGTGGTTAGACCGCTCGGTCAATCGGGCGAGCCTAGCCTCGTCACCAAACACTTAAGCTGATGCTAGGCACTGGACACTAGACAGTGGTCACTTCGGACCGGACACTGGACAGTGGGTACCTGACGACGGCCCGGCGCTCGCTGCTGGCGGCGGCATGGAACATATAGCCACTGCTGACGGCAGAACATGACGGTCGACAGCCTGAACATGACACCCGACTCCAGCTATGGCTTCCTCAGCACCTTATACCGCGATCGCCGACCGACGGGAGGGGGCAGCTCGGAAAGGGGCGAGCCGGCGGGATGTGGACAGGGATGCGCCCTTTGATTAATCGCATTGCAAGGCTGTCATTCCTGTATTTGGTTTGGCATGAGGTGCGTCAGTATTAACACCATGATAAATTGCACGCCTTATTAGTCTCCCATTGTTCGACGAGCCGATAAGCCGGATATCAAATATTTGTCTCGGCTCGTTGGAATTCAATAGCAAGTAGACATTTGTCACTAACAGTCCTATTCAAAGGTAGCTTTGAACGGTGGACTCGGGGGCGCCAGCCGGGCGGTCCGTGGCTCACTGCACAGAAGGCGGCGTAAGTGTTACCGGGGAGCTGCACCCTGGCACAAACACCTCCTGCAAGGTACAAACGTCTCCTGCAGGACCACAAACACCTCCTGCGGAACCACAAACACCTCCGACAGCGGCACACCAGCGTGTCGCCGTGCCGCGAGACGGTGAGCTGCGCGCGGCGCGTGGCGCTGGGTGGAGTGTCCCTCCTCCCATTTGTCAGCGATGACACCGGCCTTCCGACCGCTGCCGGCCCGTCACCGTCTCTGTCCGGCCGGCGACTCAGACAGCCCGTCAGCGTGGGCCGGTCGGCTAATCCGTGACCGGCCGCCGCGCGCCAGGGTGGAGTCCGCCCGGCGCATTGACACCCCGGTTTATGTGGAAACCCAGCCCGGAAAATTGATGGCCCAGTCACCATTAATGTCTCCGTTTATTTGTCGGCGATCGGGTTCGCCCTCTGCAGATGGGGTTGGGGGTGACCGGGTCGGGTTACTGGCGCGGCGGACAACAGTCGCGTCCATCGTCCTGTCCTGTGCGGGGATCGGCTGGCTGAGAGCGGGGCCGTACTGCAGGCCGGGCCTCGGACCGCCGCACTGCCGCCGTCAGACAGAGCGTACCGGCCAGATGCGGGTGTTTAATTATTCGAGCGTCGTTAGGCCTGTCTTCACGCGTGTGCAGATGAGCGCAGTGCACGGGCGGCGACACAAAGACCGATAAGATACGGGTGCAAATGAGCCGTAGCACTGTGGGGAAGCAACGCAGTAATCACTGCAGACAAGATTGCAAAGACTTAAACAAACTGAGGGAGTATCTATTCCATCAGACAAAATTAGCAAGCGCTAGTAACTAACTGGTAACTGAGCATCAGACGAAAAAAAAATTCGATACAATATTTTTAGAGAGCGGTCCTTGCAGCACCTCTCCTTCTCAAATTGTTTAAAAAAAAATACAATGCCACTAACTGATGCCGGCTCCAACGAAAAAACAATCTCAGCACTATAATAATATCTGGAACACTGTGTTGTTCCAAGCCGTCCATATATTTAACAAAATCATCCGTATGATTATTTGCAGGAAAGTTTTAGTAAACGCAACACTGCTAAATAAAGAAGCATTTATAGAAGTAATGCCGAAAATTGATGGGGGAATAAAACATGTAGCAGACTTAGCATTTTTATCCTTTAATTTCTGAAGATGGCGAATATCCATCAAAATCAAATATCTGTCCACGGCACTGGGCAGAGAAATGATGTTATGCCATTTTGGATATAGATAGGTACGAATCGGTTTAAATTATAATTAAAGGCATGCTTTCTCAGATCGGGAGCAGTTTTTTGCAGTTTGCAATTTCTTCATTCAAGTTTTTTTTTAGTATGTAATGCACCAGACGAAGCTCTACACACATAGGCGGATGTTTACAACAAATCACAGCGAAACTTGAAAAGTTATCAAAAAGCCCGATAAACACATACAAGAGAGCAAATGTGTTATATTCGTCGATATGTTCATATCATTTATTAGATGTTTTACGTATGCACATTATCGGGCTGGACCAAAATTTCAGCATATTTTTTGAAGTAAGCACTCAAAACGTGTCTTCTTAGAGTTGGGGGACAGTTTCGAAATAAAATATTTCCGAGTGGGAGTTGAAAACATTTGTATTCGTGTTGCATTGAATAATATGCAATGACAGCTGCCTTTGTGCGGGCTCCACTCAGTGAACTCACTAGCACATAACAATTTTATTGGCTCATTTTTACGGTCGGCACCGGTACTGTAACATCGGCGGCGCGTGTCAATCACACCCACACCCACCCCTCACCGTATATGTGCGTGCACGCTCTGGTATGACCCCGCGCCCTCACCTTCACGCTGCTGAGGACGTCCTGACACTCCTGCACGCTGACCCGGTCGTCGATGCCCACCACCAGTCCGCGGTAGCCGTTGTCGACCAGCTCCACCCGAGAGCTGCCGGCGCTCAGCAGCAGCGCCGCGCAGCTCAGAGCCCAGAGAACCGCGCGCATCGTGTCCGTGGGGAGGTGACCTGACCTGACCTGAGCTGATGACAGCGCACTCAGAGCAGGCGCATCACAGGCCCGCGCGAGTGACAAGTCCGCAGGAGAGAAAACGGTGGAGATGAACTAACACAAGTCTTCCGGCGGCCGAGTCCGTATCGCGGTTGTGGCAGTGCAGAGGCGCAGGTGCGGCCTATGCGGCAGTGCACTCGAGTTCGGTCACAGGTCACTCAGGCTGTCCGGCCCAATCACCTCGTGCGGCGCGGTACGGGGCTCTCTCTACACACGTCCACCCGGTCCCACCTTCAGACGCACACTGCCCGGGCGAGCCGGTCCGGCGCGGAGAGGGAGCACGCACCCGGGCGCTGCCACTCACTCCGCCAGGCGGCAGCACGGTCGATGGACCTCCTCCGCCCGGCACCTCGCGCCGCTGCCGGTCCGCCGCCGCGGCCGGGTAATGGGAGAGCGGCCACCGGCACCGGGCCGACGCCGCGCCGTCAGCCGAGCTCTGCACTCAGCTCATGTCCCTCCCATCTACGGACGAGGTCCAGTGAGCTGCTGCTGGCTGCTGCCATCATAACTCCCGGCCGCCGCCCTGCTCTAATGGCCGGCCGTGTCGGGTGCAGCGTCCGCCGCGGGCCGGCGCCGCTGCCGGCTGTGCCGCCGCCGCCGGCACCCTCTCAGCTACCGACGCGGCCGCAGATAAAGAGTTAAGTGGTCTGGACAGGGCGCCGCCGGCGGCCGGGCCCTGCACTCAGCCCGGCGAATGGTTTATGAGCATGAAAGTGCAGGAGCCGCTGCCGAACTCCGATCGCAATCGCTCGCGGCGGGATTTTCCGCGAACGCGCCGCGCGAGATGGAGCTCGTAAAGCGCCATCGGTGGCGTGCGGCCCCGCCCCGGATGGGTTTTGGGAGGTGTTGACTGTTGAGTGGGCCGGCGTGGCCCGGGGCCGGGGTTGGCCCGGGGTGGTGGTTTGACTGACCTCTCGGTGACACAGGCCCGGAGGTGTGGCACTAATGTCCGACCCGGCCGGCGATAATTTGACTAAGTGTGGGCTCTGGCGTTTGAGTGGCACAATGTGTGTATTCTCCAAACGGTGCTGGACGGACGGGGATGTGACCTGACCTCTGCTGACCTCTCAGACATGTGACCTCTGCTCAACATTTCCTGTGAACATTTCATGCATCGGCATCCTCCGCTCTATACTCAAATCTCTGCCTGTTGTGATATGGTCCGACCACAAACGACATTCGTTAACCTCTTATGACTTTATGTTTGAATGAATATGTTACCTGCTATGAGAGGTGCTCCACTGCTTTTTTTTTACACCATTTCAGTTATATTCTCGCAAGATAGGTTGTCCATTCGCTTTGATGGTATCATACAGTCGACTGTACCTACGTTCGAGGTTTGCTCTAACCGTTCGTTGACCTTCCAGACACTCGAGTCCCTGTCGATGGTGGACCCCGCGATCACCTCCCGTCCTCCCTCGCTCTGCCCTCCCGCCGCGCGCTCTCCGCTGCCAATGCACGCGCGGTTGTTGTGATCAGAGCCTGCCCGTGGAGCGCTCTGCCAATCGGTGGCGCCACGCAGACCGCCGCCGGCGGCGAGCGCATTGGCACCGCGCGCCGCCGGCCGCCATTGACTAATGACACCGTAAAATTATCATTTTCTGGCCGGCCGCGCCTGAGCCGTTTAGCGACAATGCGGCGGGCCGGCGGCAGCGGCGGCGCGGCGCCGATGGGGTGGCGACTCCCCGTCAGCGATGGCCGGTACTTCAGGCCGAGATGAGGGCAGATCAGCCACTGGAGAGCTGGCGCTGGGCCGCCCCGCCCTGGCCTGCGAATTATACCGGGGCGATTACAGTCCGGTCCGGGCTCAGGTGTTTACTGCTCCGGCTGCTCAGGAGGCCAGGGCACGCCGTCCAGACAATGGCACCGCGCCTGGTCAGGCGAATTTCGGCGCACGGGGAAGCTAGGGACGGCTGTAAATTACCGGGGATGAAGGGAGCACGAGCTGCTCTATAGACGACGACGCGGGGCGAACGGCACGGCCACTCTTTTTGTAAAACAAACGGCTATAAATACCAACCATTGCACTCGGGTCGAGCCGTTCTTGGCCCGTGTTTATAAACAGCTCGAGGACGCGGGAGGAGATGGATGTTATACGCATCAACACCGGAAGTAGCGGTCGCGTTTTGACTCGGCGCCGGCCGTGTTTTGCCAGTCGCGGGCGCCACCAGTCCCCAGCTGCACCCCGGCGCAGTCGATCAGACTAATGTTCAAACTCGGTCAGCCCTCCTCCGTTCTCGCGCTGTTTGACAGTTCAATAATGAGTCGGCCGACGCCGGGCTGGCAGCTGGAGCGACGGCCGACGGCGTCTGCCAGCCGGGTCTCGCGCCGACAGCGACGACCGGCGACGGGCGCCGACGGCGACCACCGAGCGACAAATGGTCTCCTGTCGCCGCTCAGTGGCGACATCCGGCCGGCGCCCTGCAGAGGGGGCCGGAGAGCGGGGTGAGGGGTCGACTGCGATCACACCGACCGGCCACCCACGGCCGCTGCTCTGCCCCGAGAGCCCCCCCCCCCCTCAGAGTCAGACCACCGGCACTGGTTATCGTCATCAGACTCCGCGGGGGCGCCGTCAGTGGAGGTCCGCTGGTGTCCGGAGCAGCGGAGGAGCCGCGGAGGAGCCGTCACGGCCCTCGCCCCTGTTCCGGTGCCGTCCCTCGCAGAGGTGATCGGGCCGGCCGAGACCTTTGTCAGAGGTGGAGCGGCGCCGCGGGCCGGCCGCCCTGGTCCGGAGGGGGCCATCCTGCTCAGAGCGTCACGGTGACGGCGTGACGCGACCGATCGCCGTGACGACCACCGGCGTGACGGCGGCCGGTCAGTGGTCCCAGTCCGGCCTTGGTCCGCCGGTCCCCGCCACGTGCTACCGACAGTCGCTGAAGGAGCGGCTGTCCTCGCCACGGTCCGTGGCGCAGCACGTGGGCCGTCCTCTGAGGGGAATCCTGCTCCTCCGAGGAAGAATTCGCTCCGTCGAGGACGCCTCAAATGAGGCGACACACGTGGATGGGGGGGGGGAGCATGCATGTAAGAAGAGTCCTAAGCATTTTTGGCATCGCCAAGTGAAAGTTTACCACATAAGTTGTCACCACCAGCCTCTATGTTTTCGAACGCACTGCTTTTGCACTGCATTTTCAAATATCGCGCTCTTAGGTAAGCAATATCTTCCATCCAATTCCTTTCACTGTTCATGCCTGACATCACACAAATGATGGCTATTGCTCGGGTGAACCCCTGACCCTAACACCGCTGCAGGTGGCGGGTGGCGAGGGGTCGGCCCTGCTGCCTGTATGTTCGGCGGCCCGGCCGGGTCAGGTGCTGCCGCCGCGCCGCTCTCCGTAATGGATGATATCGGGTGACAAATGAACAGCGCCGCGGCACCGCTGCCGCTGAGATGCGCCGCGCCGCCATCAATTCCCGGCACCGCAGAGCCGACGACGAAACAACGATTCATTTCGGCTAATGTGCGGAATTTCTTTTGTGCTAATGTGTCCTTGGTGATAACATGAATTGTGGAGCAGACCAAATTTCATGGTCCTGATTTTCTCCGGAAGACGCGAGATGTTATCGGGACGCCAGAGTGCGCTCGGGAAGCCGGATATTGTCTAAACTAAATATGGCTGACTTGATAAACGAGCTCTGCTCGAAGTTTCATCAACATTTCTAACCTCAATTCGTCTGAACGGTATTTATATTTATTTATACCTACCTATCTCTACCTATGTATATCATAGAGAAAATCAAATCCAAAACATGATTTCCCTACACACTTTCGGCAAAAAGAGCCCTGGAATGGAATGTTGTCAATAACTCAACATTCTCCCTCTCTGCAGCTCCTCCTGACATTTATCATCCTCAGCTCTCCTTTCTGCCACATTTTTGCTCAATCTCGCGGCGCTGGCCATCAATAACTGTGTGGTAACGCTGTCGCACAGGTCATCTGTCACCTCAGCGCCGGCAAATTGCCGTGCTTGGGGCGACACGGCCGACAGCCGGCGGCGGTGACGCAGACCGGCCGGTCGGACTGGCAGAAAACCAATCATCGCCCGTTGACACTGGCTGGCTCCGGTTCCCCGCTCCCCGCGGAGGGGTCACGGGTCAGCCGCCGCCAGCTGCCCGACTTCCTCCCTCCCCGGCTCCCGCTCCTCCCGGCTCCGCGGCGCGGCTCTCACGGCTCCCCCGGCTCCAATCCGTCCTCACCTCCCCTGGCTCCCCTGCTCCCCTCCCCCTGGCTCCCCTGCTCCCCTCCCGGCGCGGGCTGCGTCAACACCCCACTGCTGAAAGAGCAGTCTGAAACACACGGCGACGGCGCCGTTTTTGTACTGGGCCAGACAGCGGTTTTTGCGGCGGCCGTATTTTACACTTTTGTAAACAAACGCGAAGACTTACAGACGTTCACTGTAACGTTTGAGCTGGCCATGATGGCTCAGTTCCGCACGACGCACACCATTTTAGGCATGGGAGCTAACCTATGACGAAATAAGGAGGAAGATCGGTACCAACCACAGGAGCTGGTTCCGCAACATAATCTGTTTGTGCTTATGCAACCTGCAGACTCTTTCTTGCCAAGGTAAATTGTTCCGCAGTACATTTTTATTGTGTGGATACGTTGCTGAGACTTGTACTTAACCGTGAAAAGGTGATCAAGGCCATAAATGTTATGCCTATTAAATAGATTAAATTGGATCTAGAAAAGTCATCCAATGACATTTACTAAAGCAAAACGTACCTATATTCACACGACTTATATTTATTTTAATATGAATCGATTGGGCTTTATATGCCTTTAGGATGTTATCTTATCGTTGCTCAATGTACATGGTCATCAGTAGATCATATAAATAAGCTCTTTTACATGATCGACATAAGAAATGTTCACTTCATATATTTCCCATTTCACAAAAAAAAAGTTTGCCCACATATCTTTTCCTGATTGGGAACTGATTGCGCACACCAAAACCATCCACCTCACTGCGATTGTATGCTCCTCTTCTCAATATTGGACTAGGTAAATTCATTCATTCCTCGGCCCCCGAGGCCCCCTCGCAGACAGCCGATCCGGCCGCAGAATCCTCACGGTCGCCTGGCCCTCCCGACCGTGATGAACGCGCGGCGACGTTTCTCGGCGCGGCGGCATTCTCGGCGCGGCGCGGCATTCATGGCGCGGCCGGCGTGTTTGTTTGCCCAGCCGTGAACCAATAACAAACAGGCGCTGGTCACCGAGACGTTGCTCCTGGCGCACAAACAGAACGGTAGCGCT